ATAATGATAATGATAATGATAATGATAATGATAATGATAATGATAATGATAATGATAATGATAATAATAATAATAATAATAATTATTATTATGTTTATTGTAAAATTTAAATTTGAAGTATCATAATTTTCTTTATCTTTTTACTCGCTTTAGACATTCAATAAAATGATTGACCCATACCAAAAAAATATACTTTTTTAGAATTAAAATCTGTTCAGTAGTTTTTGAGAAAAAAATTCCGAAAGTTTGTCGATTTCGTCACTTTTTTCACATTAAATTGTAAATATTTCGGAAACGAAGAGTTTTTCGAATTTTTGTCAAAGAACAAGGAGTGTTTAATTTGGTCCATTTTACAATAAAAAACTATTTTCAAAGCCATTCGGCGAGTCATTTTTTTTACAACTTTTTTGTTTCTATAACAATAATTGACTGACCACGCCGAAAAAAAAATATGTAAATTATCAGAAAAATACACTATAAAATAAAAAAAGTTTAATGTTGTTTTTTTAGGGGTGAACCGCTCGCCTATTATTGAATATTAGGTTGATACAAAAAATCGACTATTTTTTCAAAATCCCTCTGAAATAGATTCAGGGTGGTGAGAAGAGATGCCTGTAAAAATCGCAACTCTTAATATTAACTTTTAGAGGTCGTGCATCGCGATTTTCTATTTAAATAACGTGGGAAAAATTATTTTTCAATTTCAGAATTTTATATCTTAAAAACCAATAGACGGATTTAAAAGACCGAAACGTATTTTTGTAGGCAATTTAACGTTCTACAAAAAATGTTCCTTATCATTTTTTGATAAACTCACTCGTACAAAAGTTATTCAAATTCAACATGCTAAACTATGCTTTAATTGCGCCGTCTATTAATAGGGAGCTCAACTAAAATAGCATTCTCCTCTTTTTATAGAACGTCACAAGTTGAATTAAAGTATTTAAAATCAAATAAAAAATTATATAAAGAATTCTTAGGTAAACTGCTTATACTGTTGGCTTTATTCTTCACTGAAGAATAATATTCAGTAAACGCTACACATTTTTGTACGCAAATATCCCATTCACAAACGATTATTTCATATAAACAATGTTTAGAGATTACGTATTCAGAATAAATGAAGATACTGGCATTAGAGTTTAGCAGACAATCGCGCCATTATTCCATGGCTAGAAATTGGCCTCAATGATTTGGGATCGAAGGGGATTATCCCTCTTTATCCTGCCTCATCTCGTGTAGGCCTGGACAGCCTTCGTAGGTGGGCCCCATCCGTCGTCTACCCCGACCGCAAATGCGGCCGGTGTAGGCGCTTTGTGGGACCTCCTTTTGTCCTGGCTGGGCCCCGCCGGCTAGGGCCCTTTCTTCTGGCGCTCTTCTTGCTTCGCCGGCTCGTCTGTGAACCCCGGGGGTGGTGTCATGTTTATGGTCGGGTAGGGTAGTGCGGCTAAGCAGACAATCAGTAATTTGCGTTCTCAGGCGGTAAATCTAGACATTTCGTTGTTTTCCAGCTAGGCACATCATTACCAGAGCAATGTTGTCCGCCGAAAACCTCTATCAGGTGGAGTCCATCCTGCGGGATTCAGGATGCGGCGCAGCAGACGGCTGTTCTATCAACATGACTTTTTTGAACCAGGAAGGGGACAGGGTATTCCATAACGCTGAAATGGCCCCCGCGGATAAGTCTGACGAGTCGCAGCTGAATATACTGACGACGGGACCTGGCGAAAGTATACTGCATTGTAACAAGTAAAATTTTTACAACTTTTTTAAATAATCGGGTATTTTAATGGTATTTTATCATCAGGTATCTTCGCATGAACGTAGAAGAGAGCAATGAAGGAATGCAGAACAGCAGCATCTGCAGAATGGAAACATTCGCGAAATATCCTACGCCACGCACCAAGCAAGACGTTATAAATATGCTCGGCGACCAGTCTAATGTGCAGTATCCCGTATTTAGAGATCAACCCGATAATCCAGTGGTTACCCTCGCAGTTGGTAGGAAGGTATTTCACTATCAATTTCTTTTTATACGCAGATCGTTTTCTTTCAGGCATTTTTGACTGTGTCGACAGAACTTGGAGCTTGTACGCTGGCAATCCGAAAAAATGCGAACCTCTAGTCGTGTTGCCACTCGACACAAAAAAGTAATTCAGCTGTAGTTTATGTTTACTATGTGATTTTACGTAGGTAATCGAATTTAAGGGCTGCTAATGCCAAATACTTAATAAATGATTTAATTTTGTTAAAAATTAAATGTAAAACTTGATTTCCAGTGATATATTTAGTGCAATTATTATATTTAAAGAAAATAAATATTATTTACAATACACGAATAGTTGCCAGTGTTATCAAAAATGTTAAAAATCACTAAAAGGATATATGTATATTCTTTTGGTAGTCTCTTTCGGCTCGTTGTAGAGGAAAAATATATAATCGCTTTAATGATGCACATGTTTGTTCATAGTTGTTATTTTTATATGTATAATGTCCTAAGAGAGTATTATAGTTTACCATAGGCGTCCGCAGAAAATTTGTAAAGGTACAAATGAAAATATTTTATTTGATGGCACCAATTTCTAAATGAAATAAACTTTCTCTTTTTTATATTTTCTCTTATTTCTTTCACCTTTCTATTAAGAAAAAAATGTTAAACATCAAAGTTTTCCGATCTGAAACTCTTAGAAAACAACTCGCCATTATTCCATGGCTAGAAATTGGCCTCAATGATTTGGGATCGAGGGGGATTATCCCTCTTTATCCTGCCTCATCTCGTGTAGGCCTGGACAGCCTTCGTAGGTGGGCCCCATCCGTCGTCTACCCCGACCGCAAATGCGGCCGGTGTAGGCGCTTTGTGGGACCTCCTTTTGTCCTGGCTAGGCCCCGTAGGCTAGGGCCCTTTCTTCTGGCGCTCTTCTTGCTTAAAAAAAAAACAACTTAATATTGCTTAAATATGCAGCGGTTCCGTGGTGTGAAAAATAGTGCTGTTTTCGTTAACCAGTTCAATTTCGTACTGCCTGCGCATGACGTCACCTGAGACCTTAACCTGAAAATCAAGTTCGAAGTTTTAAGAAACATTGCTAGTTTTGCATAACAAAATTAATGATATGAAGATGTTTAGCCTGAAACAGCTTTAGATTATGAGAAAAACGACAGAAAGTTGCATTTTTGTGCTAATATGTATATGCCATGACTGCGTCAGCTTTTCTCTCAAGTGACGTCACCATATGCGCGTGGGCACTGTACTAATTCACACCATGTTATAAACCAAATTATTGTGCAGATTGCCAAAACAAATATCTATTTGACACCCTTGTAATCAGATATTTCATTTAAACAAATAAGTTTGGTTTATATGTGCAAAATTCAACATTTAATATATTTTTTTAATATTCTTCAATCGTATCACAAAAAATAAAACTCCGCCTTTCTGTAGTTCATGAAACTTTGCAATGACTAACTATTATTGCAGTATATTGTTTGTACAAAAAATATTTATTGAATAAATCTGTTTAAATGCGTTTTGTTCATTTTTGATTTATTTTCTTATTTTTATTTGTTGTACCTACCCTGTAAATAAAATTACGTATGTAATTACATTACTATCACTTTATTTAACATTTTTATCTTATAAATCACAAATATGAATACCACAAATAAACAAAAAAATCTATTAAGTGCTATGTTTTTATAATTAATATTTAATTGCTTTTTATTTTAAATATATTTTTATGAAGTTTTAACAATCACATCCCACATGATCCTCCCGGACATCCTCCAACACCTCTTACCGTGGGCGGATTTATGTCACTCATCGTCCTAAATCTGGGGCCACCGCCACCACCTCCAAGTCTGAAAAGATAAGCGAAATTTGATAAACTTCATATAAATAAATCGTATTTTGACATCAGCCTAAAGGGCAACAAAAATTTATATAAACATGTATTGAAAATTATCTAAACATTAAAGTTTGTAAAAAAGGAACAATTTCACTTACCCATGTGGACGACCACCGCCTCCTCCACCTCCACCACCGCCGCCACTGCCTCTAAAGAAACTTCCAGATCCAGATCCTCTGGAGCTATTTGGTTTGGAATCACCGGAATCAAAGCTGACCAAGGTTTGGAAACTGAAAGCAGTATTACATTATTTATCTACTATTTGCACACTTACACGAACTTACAAAAGTATAATGAATTGTATTATTCCATAAAATATTTTGACTACTCTATCCATACTCCAAGGAGGACTCTGACATACTCTGCCATCTGAAAAAAAGTATTTTTAATCATTGAATTCCTGCTTAATTAGATTAACTTACCGCCGCTTATGTATACCATTCTTAATAGAAATACAAAAATTTATAAACAATCTGAACGGTTTTTTAATATCGAATTTATGGAAAATAAAAATACACGTCAGAAATAATTCTGTCAAATGTCAATAATAAACTTGAAGTTAGGTGAGGTATGTAGTGCAACTTATAAACAAAAATGTACCTAACTTCATTTTAAATGGCAATACCACTACAAGAAATTAAATGAAAAATTTGAATGAAAAATGAGGTTAAGTAATAATTATTTAAATCGATCTTTTTATATTTCACACTCACAAGTTCCTTTCTAAAAATGACTACTAGAAAACCTTGGAGGAAAGTTCTGTATGAGAAGCAATGCTACCCGGATAACTATACAGATAAAAAAGTATTTCTAAGGGATCTGCGGAAGAATATAGATTTTAAAGAAGTATCACTAACTGAAGCCGTCCTAGGTGCCAATTTGTTACTGCAGGAGTTCTGTACAGTTGTGGCTTTTGTACTCATATATTTCTATATGGTTAACAAGTGGGTTGTACCATCAAAGATATTCCAATGGACCAGCCTATTGACAATTTCTGGTTTCATATACTACCTCTTATTTTTCAGTGCGGGTATTAGACAAAAATTGGGACACGATTTGAGAACAGTACTAACGTTTATAGTGTTCGGACAGTTATTTTCACCAGTTTTACACACTTTAACCGATACTATAAGTACCGACACAATTTACACTACCACGTTTTTCATGATGCTGGTACATTTAATATTTTTCGACTATGGAGTAAGTGCCGCAATAGTCTCAAACAGTTTGTCTCTCAGTGCTGCTGTGTTTGCTTCCATCTGTTTGGCTTCCAGGTTATCGTCGGCTCACGAAGCTTTCATTTTAATGACCGTGGCAACGGAGACCTTTGTGCTTTTTCCTCTGCTGAGGCATGAAATTCAAAAACCTGTTTTAGTGACTTTCTCATTACTGTCTGTTGATGCGTACTTCTTGTATCAAATTGGAGGCCTTGCTATAACTTTATTCGTGGTAACGGTTACGTTAGTTACTGTGATTTGTCCCTTGCTTTTTGTGAGGTACCAGAAATACAAGGATAATATTTACGGACCATGGGATGAGGCGGTTGTGGACGATGTAGATAGCTTAGCTTTTAATTGAGTTTTTAGAAATAAATCAACTGGTCTGATTAGAAATTACTAGATCACAGGTTAATAAAAAGAAATCTGCAGGTGCTGCAATATCGAATAAAACTTGATATTTCACAATTTAAATATTTTAAGATTGGTAAAAATCTAAGTCAAACAAGGGAGACTATGCATTATTGCAGTCTCAACTTGAAAATGGAAGTATTGGATGGGGAGGAGCAAATCGTACTTAAAACCGTTACAGGTACCACAAAAAAGATTTATCAAAAAATATATCAATAGAACAATTATAAGCAAAATTTTAGACTTAACAGCAGCTGTAGGTAATGTTCAGTCTGTGTACTTATACGTTCGATAAGATATCCTTCAAGTACTCAATTTAATCTCCATAAATAAGGCTCTCGAAATAGAAATATTTTAACTAGAAAGGGAAAGTGCAATAAAATTTACTTACCTTGCTCTGTTTGTATGATGTATATATATAAATTATATTTTTTTCTATTTAACTAGGTTTTATTATTCACTTATGTTTATGTCATACGTTATGGTTACTGTAGTGATAAAATGTATATACTGTTAAAACCCAAATTAGTAAATAAACGTTTTTTGTCTATCTGAGATACTTTTAAATTTAAAATATTTTTCCCTAGAAAATCCTATAAAATGAAGTCCAACATGTTATATTTAATAATAATTTAAGGTATTTAATCTGAAGGCAAAATAATGAATTTTCCAGTTATTTGTACCCGAACAAAAATAAAACAACAAATAGAACTTACACTTTATTTAGAGTAACAAAAAAAATACATTTTACTTATGTGTAGCCTGTGCTTTACGCATTTGTGTAAGGATGTTGGACAGTTCTTCCCTCTTCCTCTTGGCACGGATGTGCGTGCCCAGACGACGCTTGAGGAACTTAAGGGCCCTCTTGTCCTTCGATACCTTCAGCAATTCCATAGCTCTCTTCTCGTAAGGGGCATGTCCGACCACTTCGCGGATGAGGTCGCGCACGAATTTCGTGTGTTTGGTTTGGATCCCCTTCAACCGTGCGGGGCGGACTTTGTCTGCCTTGGTCTTTCCTGAGGGAATTTTTGTCGTTTTGTGGCCTCTCTGCAGGCCCACGGCGATCTCGTACCTTGGGGCCATACTACAACAGAAATTGAAGGTTAGATTTGAACGTGATAGGAAAGGAACTTTGCAGTTTTGAATTATGAATATAATTAACGTTAACTTGAATAATGTGCGAATAAATGTACCTTTTATACTTAATTATCTTATAAAGATGACCGCGTGTTCTCACAGTCTGACAGTCAACACTAAAAGGGAAGATGGCGCTTGCTTATACCACAGAATAAGTAACATTTATTCTGTGCTTATACTATGCTTCCGCTAGTAGAGATGTGTTGCGATTTCACTGTCTGCTACTTTGGCGCTGATCCGCAGTTGTCGCTGGAGTAGGCTGTTGCGCCGCGACAAAAGGACAGGTAATGTTTGTACAAATTTTTATATTAACCATTAGTGAAATATTATTTCCTTGAAAAAATTTCATTTTGTAAAAAAATAGATTGAAAATATTTGTAAATTATCGCAACACATCTCTAGTTGGTAGTCTGGTAGAAGCTCGGCGTACTGTTGTGTTTAGCAATTTAAAATTTAATCGTGATTTCGATTTCAATAATTATATTGTATCACGGGCAAGTATACAGTAGAACATTGTATAAATAGATGTGAACAAGTTGGTGAAGAGAGCTGAAAAGATTCCTTCTGTAGGTAAGTAAAAAAAGCAAATATAAAATACAAACTTCGGCTATTCCATTATGTAGGTACTCCATATTTTCGGTTGACGCCGGACGAGATTCCACGGCTAGCTTTATAATTTTGTTTGCCCACATAGTGTAATGATAAATGTGATATTATTATAAATTATTAATGGTGGCGAATGGTGGGACTAGTTCGGCCAAACTTCTTTAGTTACACATTTCGCTGAACTGCCTTTAGTAACTGTATTAAAACTTGCCTAATATTCCTAACAGCTGAATGGGCTGACCAACGAAATATTTTTCCACTGATTTACCTTGCTGATGAAATATAATTTCTGAAATTTTCAACTTAATGACGATGCTACCCTTCAGCCACACTAGTTGACTGCCATCCATGTCTTTTAACTGTTTGAATATCAGCATTCAGCTCCACTGTCAGCGAGAAAGGCGGCAGACGCAGACGTCCTCCTCAAGCAACGGCCAGTGTAACTGGATGCATCTAGGAGCTTTTAGTATTCTGCCACTCCTTGAGGAATTTTTGCAAAACCGTTGATGCAAACTGGTTGTATTCTGCACTTACCGTGATTATAGTAAATGAAAAATCTACTTGTTTGGGTCTCAGCTGTAAACTTATGATAAATTTATCTGTTGTATACTTACTAGTCATAGATTTTCGTAATGTGATGATCTTAAACATCACTTACGTTTATTACTGAAGTGTATATTTCATCACCGATTTGATGGAGTTCAATAACTTGAATTATAATATCAATTTTCAAATCGATTCCACAAAGTAGAATAGGTTTCATCCAATAACTATATGACTTGGTTAGAATTCGACTTGTTGCTACAGCATCCTACAGAAAATATATGTCGTACATAAACATTTATTTTTCTATTACCAAAAGTCATCTTAATACACTGCATATTTAAATACTTATATTTCTCCATCAAACCAATGATTTAACACAACTTATATTTTTAAGAACAATTTATGTATATCTACCAAAAGCCAGACAGAAATGTATTAGCGGCGTTTTTTTAACATAAATCTTTAACATAAATCTAAATCTTGTTCAGAGTTAAAAAAAAACATTCCAAACAAAGATGATGTTATAATTTTTTTATAAGAGTACCTATACTCATTGTATACTACTACAAGAAAATATAGTTATGTTTTCAAGTCTAATATAATATTTTTATTTCAGTTTTCCGTATATGCAGCGTAATAGGACATTTTACATTAGTTTTAGTGATGAAAGAATGTTAGTGTTAGTCTAGTGACTATAAGTGACTAATCGGGCTAATGTTGATCACCGTGATCAACTTAGTGACTAAATTCGTTGATATCCGTTTCGCGAGTGAATGTGCCATGTGCCAGGATATTGTCGGGATTCTTCGAGGTTTGAGAGTTAGACACGCTGTTTGAAGTTTAATGGTAAGTTTTCTTTTTGCATGATATTGTGAATTTGTGGAGTGATAAATTTCGAAATCTTTGTAAGTAATTCCATTGTTTGTGTGTAATTCCTAGAAAACGACTTCAATTTGTTAGTATATTTCAATTCATCTTATGAATATACTCCTCTGTTTTTTCTTATTTGCACGAATAACTTGCATACACAATATTTGTACAAGGACTACAAGGTACATATTGGTTACATACAGGGTGTTTGGTAAGTCGATGCATTCCTTGCAGGAGATTATAGTAGTAAAGTTCTAATAAAAAAATGCAAATTTATAAATATTGCGGAAACCGCTCAGAATATTTTAATGAAATTTTACAAGNCGTGCCCAGACGACGCTTGAGGAACTTAAGGGCCCTCTTGTCCTTCGATACCTTCAGCAATTCCATAGCTCTCTTCTCGTAAGGGGCATGTCCGACCACTTCGCGGATGAGGTCGCGCACGAATTTCGTGTGTTTGGTTTGGATCCCCTTCAACCGTGCGGGGCGGACTTTGTCTGCCTTGGTCTTTCCTGAGGGAATTTTTGTCGTTTTGTGGCCTCTCTGCAGGCCCACGGCGATCTCGTACCTTGGGGCCATACTACAACAGAAATTGAAGGTTAGATTTGAACGTGATAGGAAAGGAACTTTGCAGTTTTGAATTATGAATATAATTAACGTTAACTTGAATAATGTGCGAATAAATGTACCTTTTATACTTAATTATCTTATAAAGATGACCGCGTGTTCTCACAGTCTGACAGTCAACACTAAAAGGGAAGATGGCGCTTGCTTATACCACAGAATAAGTAACATTTATTCTGTGCTTATACTATGCTTCCGCTAGTAGAGATGTGTTGCGATTTCACTGTCTGCTACTTTGGCGCTGATCCGCAGTTGTCGCTGGAGTAGGCTGTTGCGCCCATATATATATAAAACATATATCGCTCCTTCCCCATATGAACAATAAGTGGAAAGTGAATCAATCAGAGCGAGATGGAAATATGAAATTTGCATAAGTCTGTCTCTCAGTTGAGCAGACTCCAACTGCTCATGCGTATGATGCACGTTTCTGATTGGTTTTCTCAAGTGGTTTTCGGCCGGCTCTTCGTCTTCGCTTATTCGCTTTTAAGTTAATGGCGTTTATTTGTATTCGTTTCGTGCGTGAGAAGGGGTATGTTCTGTGACTATAACCAAATCTGTTTCAAACAAATTATTGTTTTCTTTACTTGATGTTTAATGTAAATATATAAATGTACTTACACTACACATTAAAGTTATCCTCTAAATGAGCCTAGGTATTTATAAAATGTAATTTTAAAATAAATATTTTTTATTTAGGAGGCAATGGGCCGCAAAAAGAAATGTTATTTGTGTGATAGAGAAAGGAGTAGTGAGGTAACTCTTCATAGGTCAGTATGTTCTTAAATGTGTATCAATAAATGATAATCAAATTTTTTTAAATTGTTTTAGACTTCCAAAAAATCTTAAAGTAAGAAGTGCTTGGTTAGCTTTTTGTAATTTAGATGAAACTACAGATGACGTCTCGAATCTGGACATTTGTTGTGGCCATTTTAGACCCCATGATTATTTAGAACCTCGTGCCAAAGAGTTTGGAAATCGGTTGACATTGAAATGTGATAGTGTTCCATCTATTTTAATACCTATTCAACCATCATCTCCATCACATTGTTCTCGTATATCAGGAACACAACTGCAGGCTGAAGTTGAACCTGGACCTCATTCATGTAAGTGCTCCAATTATTATTACTGAACTGCATGATCCCGTAAATGATATAGATATATATTGAATAACGGGGTCAACCGTAACGGTTTATTGACATGAAACTAATTATTAACTAATTAACATGAAATATGTTTCTGTAATCTCTAATATCTGAAGCTTGAGAAGTGATGTCAATTTCTTAGGTGTCGTATCAATTACTTTTGGTTATGGCAATATTTGAAATTGGGTATTCTGGGTATTCATTTATATTTTGGGGCAATAACAAGATTATTATTAATATTTAAAACAACATTTTTTTTATGTACATTTCTAATTTATGATGAGTAAGTATTGATGCGTTACCATTAAAACACGCACAAATAATGACCTAGCGGCCACATTATAGCCTGCTGGATCATAATAACGGTTAAAACGCTCATGGGCTAAAATAAGTCGTTCATGTCAAAGAAATTCAATTATAATTGTCATATGATAATGTGCATAAAATTTATTATTCATCATTTTTAGCGCATATTGTTGTGGAAGCCGCAGAAGCAAGTGGCATATTTCGGGAAACTTCAGGCAAACACCTAAAAAAAGAAAACTGCCAGAACCAAGATATGTGTCTGAAGTACGTAGCCCACATTTGTCAACTCCAAGGCGGGCCAAAAGGAATTTTGAACTAGCCAGAATGAAAATTTTGCAACAATCCAGGAAAATTAAAATTATGCAGCAAAAACATAGGAGACAAGCGAAGCGGATTTCCAGTTTAAAAGATTTAATTAGTCATTTAAGGAAAAAAAATCTCATCACGGAAAACAGTGGAGAGGCATTAATGGTAAAGTTAAATGATAATGCATAAAATGTTCGGTTTTTTAAAATAGTAATACTTTTTTTTTTCTTTAAAAAGGATTTTGTGTTGCATGGAAAATGTTAAAATATGTGTTATTATAAATACTGTTAATATTTTATAGGATAATCTACCAGAAAATATAAAAGAAATTGTTTCCCGAAAATTGAAATCGAAGAGAGGTAAACAATATTCTCCAGAAATAAGGAAATTTGCGTTAACTCTGCAGTTTTATTCAGCTGCAGCCTACAATTATGTAAGGAAAACCTGGGACAATCTTTTACCACACCCGAGTACTTTGAGGAAGTGGTACAGTGTTGTCGATGGTCGTCCAGGCTTCTCGAAAGAAGCATTTTCCGCTATTACCATCAGAAATAAAAAGTCACCAGTTTTTATAAATTTAGTAATTGATGAAATGTCCATAAGGTCACAAATTGTTTATGAAAATGGTCAATTTTATGGTGCTATAGACATGGGTACAGACTTGGTTCAAGATAATGACAATGTAAGAGTGGCAACTAATGCCTTAGTTTTTCTAGCTGTTAGCATAAATGCACATTGGAAGGTGCCATTAGGTTACTTTTTAATTGAAGGGTTGAGTGGCTCCGAAAGGGCCAATCTCCTCGTTAAATGTTTTGAATTAATAAAAGAAACAGGGGCACAAATTTTTTCCGTAACTTTCGATGGTGCTTCTGTTAATTTAAATATGTGTGTTCAACTTGGCGCAAATTTTGATTATTATAGTAAAAACTTTAAACCATGAATTATTAATCCTGCAACACATGAAAAAATAATCATTTTTTGGGATGCATGTCATATGCTAAAATTAGTTCGTAATACTCTAGGCGATAAAAAAATGTTATATGATCATAATAATGACATGGTTTCTTGGGAGTTCCTTACAAAATTACATCAATTAGAATTAGATGAGGGATTACGTGCGGGAACAAAAGGAACAAAATTAACAAAAAAATTTAATATTCCCATTGAAGAAATTTCATATCAATTTTTATCTGAAAATGCAAAACTGTTTGAAGAATACATTAGTAAAATAAAAAATCAGTTTGGTATTCCAATTTTAAAAACCAATAGGAAAACTGGATTTTTGGGTTTCATAATCTGTTTGAGAAACATATTTGATTTATATAAAACACTGAAAGGCTTGGGGCAAAATTATTTATTATCTTATAAATTATCCCAAGATTTCATAGAAACTTTTTTTAGTGCGATCAGGGCTAGAGGCGGTTTTAATAATAACCCCAACGCCAAACAATTTCAAAGTGCATACAAAAGACTGCTAATAAGACATGAAATTAGTTCTTCATTTAATTCTAATTGTTTAGCAGACAGCGTGGAAATACTCCATGTGACTTCCCAAAAGAGGAATTATACTGATCCCTTAATTATCGACGACGGAAATGTTGATATTGACTTATTTGACCATGATTATGTGTGCACTTTATGGACTCTTTCACCCTATATTGAAAATGTGGTACAATATATAGCGGGTTTTATCATAAAAAAAATTTTGAAAAATAAAACAATGTGTCACATTTGTGCCAAATTACTCGTAGAGGACAAAAATGAAGATTCATTATTGATTAATATTAAAAATCGAGGAAAATTTCTATTTCCATCGAAAGAAGTGTGTCGCATTTGTCTTATAGCTGAAAGAATATTCAGGCAGAATATAACAGTTTTAGTAAAGAGAGCAAATATTAAAAAGGAACTGCTATTAAAAGTAATCCGTAATATACATAAACCATTCGATTGTGTTGAGATGAATTCCCATATTTTGTGTAGCGATATTCTAGATAATCATCGCATTCAATTATTAAAATTAATTATTGAAACATTTTTAGATATACGATTTTTCCACGAATCAAAAATAATGTCACAAAAAGACGAAAATATAAGGCAAAAATACACCAAACTTATATTATTTAAGAACCAGTAGTTTTAGATCATTGTTATTGTGATTAATAAAGACTTTATTATTATTTGCTCATTTCATTAAAACCCTTAAAAATCCCGTATTCCTAAATTATATGAATAACAAAAAAAAAACGTTTCAATGGTTTTGAACCTAGCGAATCGCCCAAAATAGGATATTTTGAATTGATATATAAATTTACCGAAGCAGATTTATATCTGATTTTTAATTACGGGTTCTATTTCTGTATGAAAATACATAAATCGATTTACATGGGTAAGTATAACTTTCTAGTGATTAAAAAAAAAAATCAACATATTTACGTAGGTATCTAACATTCAAAAAACAAAAAATGGTTTTATATATTGATCATACGTACTGAATCCGTTTTACAATGTAGATATACTGTTTTAGTGTAAAACAAAAATTTGGTGCCAAACAAAATAGTTACTGTATAAATATTTTAAATAGTGTTTTGCACTCGAGAAAGTTAAACATATGATATCATTCAATTAAAATATGAATCCAGTACAACGTTATCCATAATCAGTGAATTTAGAAATCACCATATATTTAATAAAAAATAATCATCTGATCACATTCATGCAGAATTTGGGAATTTTAGAATTGACTTTGAATGTTGAATAATTTTAAAACTACTTGGGCCATGTTTCACATTTAAAATCAATCATTTTATTTGTTTGTAACTCCAATAAAGAAAGAAGTATTATGTTTCTTTGATCATAAGTTTTGTATTTAAAAAATCCTGAGCCAATGTATAATTATTAGAATCACATCAATATTTTAATTTCCATTTCAGATTTGAAAAGTTGGCGCTCTATTGCTAGGCTTTTTTATTGGTCGTATGCCACCAATCATATTGAGCTTCCTACACTTGCGCAAAACTAGTATGCTCAGCTGAGAGATAGACTTATGCAAGATTTGTATACATCTATCTCACAATGTTTGCTTCACGTGGATGTTGAATAGAGCTATATATGTTTTATATATATATGGTTGCGCCGCGACAAAAGGACAGGTAATGTTTGTACAAATTTTTATATTAACCATTAGTGAAATATTATTTCCTTGAAAAAATTTCATTTTGTAAAAAAATAGATTGAAAATATTTGTAAATTATCGCAACACATCTCTAGTTGGTAGTCTGGTAGAAGCTCGGCGTACTGTTGTGTTTAGCAATTTAAAATTTAATCGTGATTTCGATTTCAATAATTATATTGTATCACGGGCAAGTATACAGTAGAACATTGTATAAATAGATGTGAACAAGTTGGTGAAGAGAGCTGAAAAGATTCC